AATCTCGTCGGCGACAATAGGCGAGAGCGGTCCATGAGGCGTCTATCCTTATATTATGTCTATGACCTAGCCTCCTAAAACTGACTGCTGGTTATTATACCCTGTAGTTGTTTTTTGTTTGCTCTACTTTTTGTATGAATTATTAAAATGAAAAAGTCTTTTTAATAGGGGTGCTGTTAAATATTCAGATTGTCTTATGAGCTAATAAGTTGTAAACACCAAATACAGGTGAAACCAGATATTCACAAACACTGTATAAAAATAAACTTTTAAAAATCCCACGGACAAATCAGAATAAAATTTCCCCACTTTAATATGTTTTTGAAGACATCTGAATAAAAAAAAAACTTGGGACATTTACACACCAGTACTAAATGCCTTCGAGCAATTTGGGGAAACTCAGATAATGTCAATATGGTGTCCAAGTTCTGTGTGCAAGAGATGAGTGCTTTGCCACAAAATGTGTGCATCAACCCTGAAACAAAAAGTCTTACGAGAGTGAGACGAGTCCTAAGCAGATTCTTTTGCAAATGCAAACAAATAGAGCGGAAATGTGTGTAAATATTTTAATTTAAAAATTGAAATAAATAAAAAAATTCTCATTATTTTGACATTTAGAAATACTTTGAGTCATTCTAACTAATGTAAAAAGACGAAAACGGTTGCATGCCAAATAAATGCTCAATTAAAAGGTCATAAACAAAGAGACTCCACAACAGCACTGCTCAGAGACAATTAAGCGTGTCATCTTTGCCATTTATTAAAAATTATTTACATCAAGACGTGCTGTGAGGCGGTTCACTGCCCTCGCCCCCGGAACATTTCATCCTGCGATTTAAGCAACTCGCTCGGAACCAGGCGGCAAACCGGAAACAGACGATGAGCTACACTTCCCGTTATACAAAACGGGGAGATAAATGCGTTTAAAATGTCTTCACGAGGCACCAAAACAACAACAAAGAAAACATGAATCATTCTGGCAGCTGGTGATGAAAAGAAAGCATGTCCAAGTTTCAGACCGCTCATTAAATCGCACGATGACGCACCACTGTGGAAATAATCAGCAACACAAACGGCGGCATTAACTGTGACATGTGTCAGTCCGGAGCGCCACGCACCCCCTTTAAATCCTTAAATCAGTGCTGAAAATCTGTTGTTTTCCATAAAAAAAAAACCCCTCTGACAAAGAGGTTAAAGTGATGTTTACCGAATGAGGTCGTTCTACGTCACGAAGGACGCAGAAACGAGACAAAAAGCTGTAATTACACCCGGAGCCAAATCAGTCATTATGGCGAGGAAAATGTTCTTAAAGCGAGACTTTTAATGAATAGTGTGGGATTTGGGAGATTTGATGATGATTGGGAGATTTTGGTGAGACTGGTACCTGCGGCCGCGGAGTAAGCGGATCAGATCAGTTAGCTCCTGATCAAGTTTATGGACATGGACGTCAGGATGATCTTTCATTAATTCATTTCTACCATTGTTGCTTTTACTTGCGTCAGGGATCGATCAAAATCATTACAACACCCACAAATGGCCCCCGAGCCACACTTTGGACACCCCTGCATTAAAACACAAAACATTTTTTGGTCCAGTTTCTAGTGCAAATATCTTTGTACGCTTGAAATAAGACAAAACTAAATTACAAGGAACTTTTCAGCAAGAAATAGGAGCTTGTTTTAAGTAAATAATTCCTTAATACTGACTTTAAAAAAAGCAATAGTTCCACTTAGAACATGGGTAAAATGTCTTTACTGCAAGTGAAACAAATATACCAGTGGAACTTGTACTATTTAAAATGAACAAAGAATTATTTACTTATTTAGCTCATATTTTGCTGAATTATTACTTTGAAACTAATTTAGTCTAATCTCAAGTGTGCTGAGAGTTTGTATGTTTTTGCAGGGCAAAAATATTTAAATTGAATTTGGATGTTTTTTTCTTTTCCTCCAAGTATACAATGCACCATTTCCACAGCATGATGCCTCCACTACCATACATAAGTCTTGTCATTAAGACCAAAGAGACCAATCTGACCATAAAGAGTTTCTCTGATCCATGCAGATTTGATAACGGTTTGAGTCAAATGGATGAAAGTTGAAGATAAAGTTCTGCAACAACAAGCTCACATCAGAACTGGTTCTGGATTGGTCAAAGTACATTAGCAATACTGATTGGACCGGATGTCCATCCTGTTGAACATTTGTGGGTGATGCTTAAAATTTATCAGCATTTCTGGAAAGACGATGCAGTCAGAATGACTGCCAGACTACAACGAAGAAAACTTTACAAAAAGACATTTGACAAAATATTAGTGGGTGTATATAGATATATTTTAGCGTGCATGTACACGTTTGACCAATTGGACGGTAGAGAAAACGGTGAATTATTGTTTTGAAAAATAAAATCGCTGGTTGTATGTTGTATTGTTGACCCACCATAAAAATAAAAAGCCAAACTTCTGACCGGCATTGTACAGGTGAAGAGTATTAACACACAATTGATTTCATCACAAAACTGTTATTTTCTGGAAAACACCCAATTAAAGAAACATCACCAGCACAAGAGACGATTCTGCTCCGACGGAAAAAAAAAATCATGCAGAATTCTGATATTGGGGGGAAAAAATCAGGTTGCGATGAAGTGCTCCATCTTAGCTTTCCAAAGCGGTGTTGGCTACAGAACAGTCAAATGAAAAACCTCCAGAGTTCTCCAGCAACGAAACACAAGACGACCACGTTTACAGGCAGTACAGTCTCCACACACGGTGAACGCCGTCGTTTCTTCTTCTTCTTCTTGGGTTTATACTTGTGAGCAGAAATGCTGACGTTTGTGTATTAACTTAAAAGACGCTCCCGCTACAGGCTTAAAAAAAAAAAAAAATGAACAAAAACAAAAAAACGGACGTTCCAAAAGTCTGAGGACGTAGAAGCGGACGAGACCGAGAACCGGCAGAGGATTCAGACTGAAGTCAGCCGCTGTTCGCCGGCGGCGGCGGCGGCCGGTCCGTTTTCCACCACAGTCCGAGCGACGAACCTCAGAAGCCCCCCGTGTTGGAAAAAGATAACGTCCACCTCGGAGTCGAACAGCGCCGTGACGCTGAACGACGTCCCTTTGCTGGTCTGGAGGGAAAAAAAACACAAAAGGAAATCAGTGAACTGTGGAGATTCCCAGAGACGCAGATGCGGCTCAGATGCCTTACCCTGACGGTGAGCTGTTGCCGCGGCCGCAGGCTCTCCGGCAGCGCCACGCTGAAGCGCTCCTTCCCACTCAGCTCCAGCGTGTCAGCGTTTTGCCCCGACACAAACTGCAGCGGCATTATGCCCATCCCCACCAGCTGGCTCTTGTGGAGCTTCTCGAAGCTCTCGGCGATGACGGCGCGGACGCCCTAGAGAAAAAAAAAAAAAATTAATCATTTGTTAGAATGGCCCAGTCAAAGTCCACCTCGGAGTCAAACAAGGTGGACTCTTGAGGTAGACTAAATCCAATTAGAAAATGGATGTTCACAAATTATTTTAATGTAATTTCAATAATATACAATCAACATTCATGGTGTGTAATGTTAAAGTATGACTATAAGTGTGTGTGCGTTTGTTTGTAATACCTTGTGGGGACCATTTTCCTGACACTATGTTGTGGGGACACACTGCTCCTTGTGGGGACAGAAGCCTGGTCCCCACAAGGAGAAACACTGTTTTTGGGTCAGGGGTCAGATTTAGGACTACAGTGTGAATTGAGTTTTGGTTAGGGTTAGGATAAGGATAAGGGTTTAGGATGTAGAAGTCAATGGAAAGTCCCCACAAATATAGCCACACAAACATATGTGTGTGTGCGCGTGCGTGTGTGTGTGTGTGTGTGTCCACGTGTGTGATTTACCAGCAGGTACGGTCCCTTAGCTACCCAGTCCCTGGAGTTTCCAGAGCCGTAGTCTTTTCCTGCCAGGATGATGAGGGGTGTGCCGTCTCTCTGATAGCGATCAGCTGCCTCAAACACATCCAGCTGCACGCACACACACACACACACACACACACACACACACGGAGAACAATTGAAACTGGACTCAGGCTGAATCAACCAGCACTCAACGTTTACATGGACTAGAATGGTTAGGTTTCCACTCACAGTCTGGCCGGAGGGAATGTGCAGAGTCTTTGGGCCTGGCTTGCCGATGAACCGATTGTGGAGCTTGATGCTGGCAAAGGTTCCTCTCGTCATCACCGCGTCATTCCCTCGGCGAGCGCCGTACGAGTTAAACTCCCGTGGCGTCAGCCTGGAGCCGAGGAGACACAACGTTAGAGTTCAGTTCATTTGAAGCGACTTGGTGAATGAAAAGCTGCCTGTCACAATTAGCAATATATCAATGACACGCTGCTAACATTTGATGCTAAGTGCGAACTACGCACTGACACTTTTGCCTGTTTTCCCTGTCTTAAGCTTAAAGATCATTGTTTATTAAAAAGCAATTTTTAATTCTTTTTATTAGTTGTTTTCTATTGTTTTATTTGTTTTGGATATTTAAAATGTTAAATGTTTATAAGAATTTAAAGTTTATTCATCTTCTACCATTACATAGAAAATGCTCTCAAAACAACTTCTGGGACCATTTATTGTCCAGAGAAACCAGCCCATCAGCTGGTCTGACACCGACCGTTTGCTCTGCAGGTACTTGGCGGCGGCGCTGACTCTGGAAATGCTGCCGGCTGGTGAGATGTGATCCGTGGTCACTTTGTCTCCGAGGAACAGTAAGGCGTGAGCGTTTTCTATCGACTGGGGCGGAGGAATATCTTTACTCTGGGATGAAAAAAACGATAAAAGAGAAGAGGTGAGAAGGCGACGGTTGCTGCGATGCAGGAATAAGCGCCGGCTCTGATGGAGGTACTTACGAGTTTGCTGAAGAACGGTGGCGAGCGGATATACGTGGACTTGTGATCCCAGGGGAAAACCACCGAGTCTGGACATTCAATCTTGTTCCAAAACGTGTTCCCTTTCTGAAGGAGAACAAAAGTGTCACGGTTTGCATGCGCAGCAGGATTTATTCAACAACAACAGAACGGGTTCTGACCTCCAACCTCCTCCTGAGGTCCTTAAAGATGGCAGAGATGACCGTGTCCTCCTCGGTCTGTTGGACTTCCTCTCTGGATGGCCAAATGTCACGAAGATACACTTCCTTACCCTCCGAAGTCCAGCCTGTTCAATTTGAAACATAAGCTGAAAATCAAGCTGTATTTTCAAGAGCTTTCCGAGGGAAAGCAGAGTGAACACAAGGCTTGAAGAAGAAGAAAAAAATCATATCCTTTTTCACATTTTGATACTTTTTTAGGTCATTTTTTCTTTGCTAAATTGTTCAGACTCAATCAGATTGGATGAAGATCCAAACATTTCTGGAACAACTTCACCTGCTCCCAAGAAGCACCAGAGAGGGACGAGGATCTGGTGATTGAAGCTTTCCTGCAGCACTTTAAATACTGAGCCGACCAAACGCTTTCTTGGTTTGATTGGGGATCAAAATTGCAACATTTGTTACGTTTTCAGTGGTTCGCTTTCACACAGCACTGTGTCAAACAAACCGAACTAATTGACAAACCTGTCCAGCTCCCTCGTCTGTGGAGGAAACAACACAAAAACCTCAGAAGAAGACGCAAGTGCAAACTTCTTCTTTGCAAAATGTAAACAAAAATGGAGTAGTGTCAGATTTTGGCTGTTGTAGGATTTCTCTTTTGTCTTTGGCTAAAGTCCACAAGACATGTCTCCTGCTAGCACGAGACACATGCATTTGTTTGGGTTGTATTTACCCAGAATGCAGTGCTCTATAATCTACTTCCAGCTTTTAGACTAAAATGTTTCATTTTAGTTTCATCTGTGTAAAAAAAAAAAAAAAAACAGAAGCAAAGAAATACTTCTAAAAATGACTAAATAATTCCAGAACTTTTCCAAAGCATCTATGCAGAGCAAATTAAACGTTTAGATTAAAATACAATCAGATTGCTGAAGATAAGTGATTTTTTATTTTTACTTCGTCGGCAGTTGAGAGGTGACTAAACAAGACGCTGAATCCCTTCCTGCTCACTGACTGTAATCCGACCAAATTCCTCAAATCCCCGGCTGATCTCCAGCTTCTAGACAAACAGCTTAATGGAGCTGCGGGCGGCGCTCGTCTCACCTAGAGGCTCTTTCTCAAAGTCGATTCCCACTGTGCCTGCGATGGCGTACGCCACCACCAAGGGAGGGGAGGCCAGATAGTTGGCGCGCACGCAGTCACACAGCCGGCCTTCGAAGTGCCTGTTGCCAGACAACACACCGCAGGCCACCAGGTCCCCCTGAAACGATGGACAGCGGCGTAGAGTCTGAGTGAGGGCAGACGGAGAGCGGCGTGGCAGCGGTGGGGGGAGTTACCTTTTTGATGGCGTCGACTACGGCTTCTGGTAGTGGCGCCGTGTTCCCCACGCAGGTGGCGCAGCCATAACCTATGACCTCAAACCTGTCACATGATCACAGCCATTATTTATGCAACTTTGATTCATAGTAACTTTAATGTTAATCAATATATTCGATGTGTAATTGATGATATTAATGATGGTATTTGACTGGATGATGTTTTTATGGTTTAAAGCACTTTAAAGTTCTCTGTTACTGAAGTGAGCAAAATAAATAAACTTGACATCCCATAGAAGAAAATGGATCCATCCTTTAAAAAAAAGAGTTTTATCTTTGTTTTCTTATTTTAAATTTTTATGTTTAGGTGATTGAATTATTACATGAGTTTTATTTAACCAGCTCGAGGCTAAAACCTTCTCTCTGAGATGTAAAGTGTAAATATGTAACTGAAACCTGCTGATGTCATTTCCTGCGCTGTCAGTGCGTAAAAGCTGCTCACCCCAGCTGGTTGAAGTAAGGCAGGACTCCACTGGCGTTGAGGTAGTGGGTGACCATCCCACTTCCAGGAGCCAGGCTGGTCCGGATGTAGGGCTTGACGACGAGCCCGGCTTCCACGGCCTTCTTGGCCATCAGGCCTGTCGACGGCGAGGAACAGAGTGAGCGAAGCCGAGCTGCGACCTTCACGAAAAGTGTTCTCACGCTATCTGTGTTGTCTCCAGCTCCCATCGCCTTGAAGCTGAGCTAAACTTTGCTGAGAAGACTAAACAGTTCACGTCTGAATTTAAACTTTGGCATACCTGCGGTGAGCATGACAGACGGGTTGCAGTTGTTGGTGCAGCTGATGACGGCGGCGATGACCACGGAGCCGTGCGCCAGCTGATACTCCTGACCGCCGTGCAGGAAGGGGATGCGGACGTCCTGCTTCTCCTTGGCGATGTGGAAGCCTTTAAATCCCACCTGGGACAAGAGGAGAAGTTACTGGGAAGCTCTGCTGCCTAGCAACAGGAGGCATCAATAAGTACTCCCATCCAGGTCACCTTCTCGTTGAGGCAGCTCTGGAAGTCGTCCTTCATGCTGCTGATGGCCACTCTGTCTTGGGGTCTTTTGGGTCCGCTTACGTGGGGAACCATGGAGCTCAGGTTGATCTCGATCACCTGCACAAACATCGCTAGCTTCAGCGGAGCTCATTGATACGTCTTCTAAAACGCTTCAGACAACGCATTTAAGTTGACAGAGAGTCGAGCACAAAGGAAGACAGCTCATCTAAATTAGAATACAATTTTAAAAGTTAATTCAATTCGAAAATTACAGTGTAATATATTAAGAGTTAATTTCTATTAAATTTAAAGGAAATGGTTTAAAGATAATGAAAACCCAACATAATGTTTCTCACTAAGTCGAATTAAGATTTTTAATAAAAAGCATCAAGCAGTAGCAGGCAGTCACTATAACAAACATGTCCAAAACGTTTGTTATGTCACGTTTTTTCAACATTAGTCCATATTCTACTAACGTTGAAAAAAGAAATTCCAATTGCAGTGTTTTCATTAAGAAACAATTAAAATGAAAACGTTTGTTCATAGTTAAACACGCCGCGCCGTCCTCCTTCTACTGCTTCCTGTCATTTTCTTCGACTTTTCCATCAGTAGTGACATACAGCTGCTGATCATGTGACTCGTGTGACGTGACAGAAGCGTTTCCATTGCAGTTCTGTGAAATACACTAATTTTAATGGAGCTGAAAAACCACCTCATCCTAGCGCCAAAGCTTTTTAACAAAACACTGGAGTTTTTTCAAAATTGGCAACTTTTCATTAAGCAAATACATTTTTAATTCCAATTTTCACTATTTTTGGTCCTCAACAGGCCTTTGCTAAAGTCTTTAGCTGCTCACAGAACAGAGGAAATAAAGTGTCACACAGGCTGACTGCTCCTTTTCCCTTTTTGTAATCTGATGTGAAATTACCTCTGAGAACTGAGGATCTTCTGAGGATTCTTCATAGCTTCGGAAAAGATTTACAGCCTTCATGTAGGACTCCAGTAATTCAAGCTTTTTGTCAGTGAAATCTGGAAGGATGAATTAAAATACATTACAGAAAAAAACGGGACATTTCACACAAAATCCACATTTTTAGCTCAAATACATTTTGTTGTGCACGACTTGTAGTTTATGTTATAATATCGTTGCCGTCTTTTAATTAATTTTAGAATAAAATGTTTCTGCAGCGGTAGATAAATGGATTTCTGCTGTTAAGCTACAAAAATAGCTGAACAGATAAAGTGTAACACTCTGACCTGGAGGGGGCGGGGCATGAAGTGCCTCATTTGCATTTAAAGAGACGGTACTAAAACAAGTTGCTCTCAAACGCACTTCAGCAAGCAATGCAGTTCCAATTTAAATAAACCCCAAGTGAATGATTTAAATATGAAAAGGACAACATTAAAAGCCTGATATGTCCACTTTAATTGCTCCTCGTTTTACTCACTTGTCTTTTTAAAGTGCTTGAGTGTTACGTGGTCGACGGGGAAGAAGCTGACGGTGGCGTTGTATTCTGGACACATATTGGCGATGGTGGTCCGGTCAGGCGCCGACAACTGGGAGACACCTGGTCCAAAAAACTCCACAAACTTCCCAGAGATTCCCGCCTGCCGCAAGTGCTGAGAAAACAAAAGACCAGAGAGATAAACCCGAAGCTCAGAGCGTTGTTATCTGGAAGAATTAAAGCTTTTCTGGTTGAACGATCCTAAAAAGGAACCTTTGTGATGCCGAGGACGATGTCGATGGAGGTGGCCAGCGGGTTGATGGAGCCCACCAGTTTGCAGCCCATCACCTGAGGTAGGGTCAGCGACACCGGTTGGCCCAGCATCACTGCTTCAGACTCGATTCCTCCGACGCCTGAAGGAAATCGTGAAGCCAGTTACTAATGATGCGGTCTAAACAAAAAGCTGAGAAGCGTTGGTGAGAAGAGGCCGTACCCCATCCCAGGATTCCCAGGCCGTTGATCATGGTGGTGTGGGAGTCGGTGCCCACCACGCTGTCGGGATAGATCAGTCCGTCGCTGACCTGCACCACCCTGGACAGATACTCCAGGTTCACCTGGTGGACGGCGCCGACGTCCGGAGGAACCACGTTCACATTTTTAAAAGCCTTCGAACACCACTGTCGGGCAGACGAGGAGAAACGTCGGTGCTCAACGAAGAGTCTTGTCCAAATGAACATTCATTTTATCTTCTCTACGGGAAAATCCAAACACAAGCGATGTTTTGATACCTTAAAAAAATGAAGCCTCTCTTTGTTTCGCTGCAGTTCCATTTCCTGGTTCTTCAAAGCCGTTTCCACTCTGCAGAAAAGATTAAGTAAAATCCACAATGAGCTCCAAAACGGAAAACACTGAGAAAAACAATAACATCTACATCACCTTGCCAGTATGCTTAACATGTGCACGACCTTTGAACTTTCCCACATCAAAATGAATAACAGGAATCCTCTCTAATGCCTAATTTAGGATAATCTTGTTCTCATATTTTCACTGTTGCTGCAATTCTGCAAGTATTTTAGTGGGTGGTGTGTTTAGGGTTATGAACAAGTGTCTGTTTTCTGACACACACACACACGCGCACGCACACACACGCACGCACGCACACACACACACACACACACACACACAGTGTTTTGGATGTAGCCTCAACAGAGCAGAGCTGAGTTGTTCTTTCAGCAATTGGCCTTTTTTTGAGTCTGTATTCTCTACTTAACAATTATTTACTAAATTTGTTGATGACTATTTCAATAATCAATTAATCGCAATTAATCGAATGAATCATTTCAGCCCTAGTTCAAAGGTCACGAGTACTTCTGCAAGCTCTTTGAATCTAGTCCCATTGTTACACAGACTGAACCAGTCAAACCCTCTGACTGATGAAGACGTACTCAGAAACGGGCTGCAGGTGGAAGGGGCAGAGCAGGGGAGTGTTTTCGATCTGCTGGACAGAGGTAGGACGGCCCGACGAGGCGGGGGGGTCGCTGCAGGCGGCCTTGCTGCAGGAGCCCCGCTGGCCCCCGCAGTGGGAGCCGCCTCTGGACGGAGGCCGGGCCGCTGTGGACCGAGGAGGAGGAGGCTGGCTCTGGTTGGAGCTGTCGCCTCCACCCGGGTTGGGAGCGTTCTGTATGGCGCTGGTATGACAAGGATCGACGTTTAAAAGGAAATAAAGACCGACGTAAGCAAACAAAGGTGGGATTTCTTTTCAGTTATTCAACAAACCATTTGCTGTAATCGATTTGTAGCGAGTGGTCTACGATGAGGTCCGTGGGGCATTTCGGGTTGACTAGGTCGGGGTCGACGCCGTGTTTGGCCACAGCGTCTCTCATAGCTGCCAGGTCCACCATAGCAGGAATACCACTGATACAGAACAACAACAACAAAGAAAAAGTTTTTTGTTTTTTTTTTTGTTCCCAACAATCGCTTTCTTCACAGCTGAGGAATTAAAAAGTGAGTAAACTCACGTGAAGTCCTGCAGAAGGACTCGAGCCGGGGAGAACGGCACCGCTGCCTTTTCCTGCTGCTGCTGCCAGTCCAAGATGTTCTGCACATCCTCCTCTTTCGTGTAGAAACCGTCACAGTTGCGAATCGCCGCCTCCAGCAAGATCCGGATGGACAGCGGCAGTTTGTCTGAGTGTCACAAAATAAAGAGTTGACTCACCAGGGGCTACGGCCGACGTTACGACCGATACGGCGCGGCGGTGAACTCACCGTATCTCGGGTCGCCTAATTTACGTGGGTTGTAGAACTTGATACCATCTGGTAACGTGTCGATCAGATGGGCGTACGGGTGCTCTGAGGAGGACAAGTTAATGCTCAGACCAAAAAGAACATTTAATGTCTTCTAGTCATTAAAAAATATCACTGAAACTCTTTTAAATTCTTTTTTTAAACAAAGAATCATATGACAGCAGTAACAGTGTTCCTGCAGGTTTCACCAACTCAAATTTAGGGCATTTTAAGACCATTATGAATAAAATTTAAGGCCTGTATAGAAATGTATAAAAGAAAGATTCTTCAGAGTTATTGCAGATGGTTGTGATGTCATGTTGCAAAGACGAACGTCGCCCAGTCAACTGGTGATAAATTTACACTTACAAACAAAAGACACAAGCTAGCTATTAGCAGCTTGTTACCTCATAGGTCACAGTGTATGAAGATGGCTCCACGTGACTCAAACTTCTGCCTGACAGAAAAGTCCCGTGAAAAAAATACTGCATAGAATATATAGGAATAAATAGTTCTGCCACGACAAAATTTGAGACCTGTGATTAATTTGTTTGAGGCCATCTTTGATTAATTTAAAGGGGCAGTAATATGTTAACCAGACACCTACTACCATTTTATGGCATAGTCAAGAAACAAAGTTACCTTCAGTTGTTATAAAAAAAAATGCTATATTTATACCAACTGTGACTTAAAAGGAATTTTATTCAGGGCTTTCCCTAGTGTATTATAAGCCTGGCGGGCCACCAGGCTTTACTTGCTCCCCCACGAGGCTAAGTGTCATTTGTTTATTTTAAATTAGTTTTTTTTATACACCAAAAACATTGACAGTAAAGACAGGATAAGATGGTTTAAAGTTGACTTGTTGGACTGCCGTCACCTGCTCATGCACCTCTGAATTTTTGTAACTTCATTTTTTAACACAAAACATGGTGTGCCACTGGTGGACTGTCCCAAGGCCTCCAACACCAGGCTTAGCAGGTTTTCTGGGGGAAACCCTGTTATTAATTTATGTAACGCCTTGAAATTGGACCCCTGTATCTTTAAAACTCCTGCTCTTTCTGAAACTCTGCCTTCAGGAAGTCAACATAACATAGCTCCTCTATTAAACCTTCAACAACATTTTTACCAGTGTTACACTGAGAAGAAGCTCCTATAATGAGCTCAGGTGTGCTAATTGCTGCTGGCTAGTCTGAAGGAGCTGAGTGGGGGAGTTGCTGCTCTGGCTGCTCTGTGAGGCGGAAACTCGGGAACTGCAGCTCAGAGGTGGAGCTGCGACTCGAAGGGAAAGCGAAATCCCTCCAGGCTGTTTGCACAACTGAATGGTTGCCATGGAGATTAAAAGATTTCTCAAATATGAATGAAAGAATCAAAGCAACGCTCCAGGTATGTTTTTGATGGTGACATCATGCAACATTATAACTTGATGCAAAGCTAATACTGCCCCTTTAAGACCAACCGTCTAAAGCATTCAGAGCATCAAACTGTAAGTTCATCTCTCATCTTCCTCAACTTTACCACATCTATTGTCAGATCACACAATACACGGATGAGACCTTTCGTCAAGAAGCAACACAGCAACAACACTGTCTGCTTTGTGCCGTTTAAGATTTTAAAAGCTTACTGACTCAAACACAGAAGCACGTACGGAGGTTTTCATGTTATTGTTCAGAAATGTAAACAGACGGGAGCCACATTTCTGCAAAGGAGATAATGAGCAGGAGGGACGAACACACTGGGGGGATTCCTTATCTCTGCAGCATTTCCTGAAAACAGACTCAACAATATGGTGGCGTTGCAGCATGACGTATTGACAAAGGTAAAGGCTGGTTTACTGTATCAAGTTAAGCAGAGGTTTTAAGGAGTTGGTTATGACGGAGTTGCATTACTGCAAAAAATAAATTGTACGAAACGAGAAGAATTAAGTCATAATAATACCAGAAAAAAAGGTGTTATGAGAAAAAAAGTATATTATTCAGAATAAAGCCATAATATCAGTGGATTCAAGTATTAATGTTATGACAACTCCCATGCAAACAAAATGGAGAATGTTTAAATTTCTGTTGAGCTATATGTCATATTTTAAGACGTCAGCCTCAAATTATTGTCAGTAGCAGAACTTTAAAACATGTTAACATTCTGACTTCATTCGCATAACACTATGACTTTACTCTAGTAATATTATGACTTAATTCTTATATTTTTAAAAAAAGTACAAAAAAGTTTTAGTCCGGCCCTATTGATGTGTCATAAAAACCACAGTTGGAGAGCAATGTCAGTCGAGCAGCTGACTGCTGGCTACCGGAGCAGATGCCACCACTAATCATACATGGTATGGATTACATTATTAGGTGTGCAATAATCAATACAGAACAAGTTTAGCAGACATAGTAATATTTGTTGCTTTTGTTAGATCATGTTTTAAACTACAAACAGTTTACTCAAAATTACTGTATCTAACTTTAAAAATCTCATACGTAAGATTAGAAAAGAGATGTAAAAACAAAAAAGCTTAATTTCCCCCGTTAAATGAAACATGATTACTGTTAGAATAGAAGAAAATACTTCTTCTATTCTGTTAATTAAAAGAGACCCTACCGTCACCTGAGAAAATTATTATTCTCAACAATAGTTCATAAACAATCTTCATCTTTTTATGTTTAGTTTCTCTCTATGCGACAGCCTGATTTAACATTAAAATTTCCTGTCACACATACAGTATTGTGGATTTTTACAAAATACTGCCTTGCAGGTATGTTCACCGGCTATAAAACGACTCTATGCAAAAAGAGGTCGTCACAGATAAAACCAATTGATGGATACTGGCTACAGAGCAGCAACAAGAAAAAGAATAAACACAGTAGAACCAGATTAGTCTCACGCTTCAGTAGATGCAAGAGTGAAAAGGCAAAACAAAGTAAAATAGTTTCCTACTCAGTTTCCATGACAAAATCACATACTTTTCAGACTAAATTTGATTTAATATTGAGGTATTTTAACAAGACTTAACTATATTTGTATGGCAGATATTTCTACAATGGTAAAGAATTGAAAACAAATCATTCATATTCCTGTCAGTAAGAGGAGATGGTTGGATAATATTTAGACAGTTGTATATGAGGTAAAGTTTGGAACTTCAGATCTTCAGAAAATATATAAATCAAATTTCCTATTTGTTTCCTTTGTAGGAACCCTGAATGCCACACAGTGAAGCCAGGTATGGACTCTACATATTTACCACATAGAAACAATATAAATATTCTGCATATAACCATTCACTGTTGAATCTTATGTGTTATTACCAACATAGATATAAATACAGATGCTACGGTAATAGAGTAAAAACAAAAATTGTATAACCGTATCTAGGTAGCAGCACCACAATATGTATACAGGTGTGTAATTATGTATTAGTTTGCGCGTTAATAGTGTTATAATAGGTAATACTGTAAAGCAGTAAAATTAAGAATTGAGTAATAATGTATATGAGATACAAACATTGATAAAGCAGGGACTTTTTTTTACATAAACCTTTTGCTTGTTGTTAAATATATTAAAATTTTGAGTTTTTCACTGGCTCTGGTTTGAAAGGCCGATTTTTTCCCCCAGCAAATATTATAACACTAAACCCAGTCTCTTCATAAATTATGTAATGACTGTAAACGGCCAAGGTAAAAGTGTTGTGTCCCAGGTTTTCATTAGAACATCTTAGCATGTTTTCATAATGACAGGGTGAGGAAGAAAGGTGCAGAGCTAGCCTAGGTGCGAGCTGCTAACATAGCCTCTTATCGTAAAGCACACTTGCGCAGAGCACTTATCGAACTACCGGCTTAACCTCTTCTAGAGATAACAAGAACCAGCTTAGTTATAAAACAAAACACAAGCAGAAGACATTTAGGTAAAAGTCGTGGCAAAGGCATCAAGAAAGACACCAACGGGTTTCGCCTTTAGCATTTTCCTTTTTACCATACTAGCTGTCATATCTGTGTTATCGCGTTAGCTACGTGCTAGCTTCTCTGTCGGGGCCATTTATATAACGTTCACGTGAAACAGGCCGAAGTTCTCCTACGAGCGAAGAGTCCGTTTCAGAACGGTTTTTTTCGGTTAGTTTACGCGCTGTGGCCACTCATAGTTGTCCGTAGAAGGTTCGTAAAAGACTCGTTTTACCTTTAATTGTCGCATTGAGCGCCATGATGACTCCTGAAATCAACAAGGGCCCCTTCTCACACTGCACAACCAACGCAGGGCTGACCAATTACAAAATAGCAAACAGTAATGTAACCAATCAGAGTACAGAGCTCCCCGGTCACGCCCAACCAGAAATTTGTAGTAGAATAAACATAAATTTTTTTTAGAAACTATCTGGATATAATAAAACCCATGTTTTTCAGAAATACAACAGGATTTGTTAAAGGTGAGAGTTGAGATACTATCTTATTATAATTATTATTATTAGGTAATAATGCCAAAATACTATCTCACAATAAGATTACATTCTCCTCAGTCATAATAATAAGAAATAGTCTCTGTCACTAATTAGCTTTCACATTATCATGATATGGATAACTATAAAAGCAAAGTCAAAATTTTGAAAGGGCGTCTCGTAGTATTTGCATAGTATCTGATAATAATGAGATAGTGTGTTATTATTATGTATTTATATAATTATAATTTAGCTATATCATAATTATTAAGTATAAAATTAGGATAAATTATAACTACAAGGTTCATAAGTGAAAAATATTGCTAAATAATTACGGACAACTAAGCCAAGCCACAAATATGAGATTCAAATCCTTTCGCATCAGTGTCACAAATGGCTTAAGACGATCATAAATAGCACTGTGACTTTAAAAAAGTGTTGCCATGTGACGTCAACGGTGTTGCTTTCAATGCACTTCGGACTGTTGGTTCGAGGAACGTTCGTGTAACTGACGAAAGAAATAGTATTTATTATTATTATTCAACAAATTTTACATGTATGTATAAACCTTTATCTATGTTTTTGCTTATTCATATCTTATTACCTATTATTTTTCTTTGGTCAAAATCTGTAATGTTATTTCGTGACACCCTTGTAATGTATTTTATTAGAATTTCTACCCGATCATGAATGCATCATCTTCCTTCAATTGTACAAACAACTGGCAAAGTAAATATTTCAGTCCTATAAATCGGAGCAGAATGCTTTTCAAACCTGTTTTTTTAATTAACTTTAAAGTAGAGAACAATTTGAAGATGTCTTGATAAAGTTTAGACCCTTGACCTTTTACCTTTGACTGTGTTTGTTAAGAGCAGTAATGGACGGAAGACATGACCCTCCATTATGTTGCAGCAGCGGAGGCCGTACGAGTGTAAATAAACAACTTCGATATCCAAACGACAGTGGCCGAGGACGGTGAGCTTAATGACTACTCGGGTACGTTCAGTCGGTGTGTTTAGGTGACATTAATTTGCGTTTCTTCGATAGGAAAGCCCCATGTCAGATTGTTGTTGCTAAAGCAGCTAGAGTATTGTACACGCTGTGACTTGCACGTGTTTCCTCTTCCAACAAAACATCACTAAGTTATTGACTAACTGATCAAACGTTTAAAGGCTAGTTGTTCATCTCGTGTTGGATATTATTTTACTCCTAATTTGTCAGCAGCGGAATATGTGCTTTTAAACTTCCCCTCTTGTGGTCTCTGTTTCCCTTACGGACCTAACTGACTAACAAGTATGTTTCACAAGCCATGTCAGTTCCGGGTTTATAAACCCTGTGGTAATACCGATTTACTTCTCTTGCCCATTGTGTGAAGTGTTGCAGGTATTAAATGAGCGAAATTAACATCTTAACTGTCTGGCTGTTACAAATCCTCAGAGGAATGTGTGTTTTTGAAGTGCCTTGCAAAAGTACTCACACTCATAACTTAACATTTGGTCATGTTAAAACCACACATTTAAAAGTGTCTATCATAATTTTTTCAGTGATAGGTCAACACAAGCAGAGAAATGTTTTCACCATGTTTTCACCAACGATGAGCAGAAAATGAAATGAATAAATAATTAGTCCTGGTTTGTCTGGTCTTCAGATTGGTCTGGTGTTCTACTGTTGTCTTCCATCATTCACTTAATGCTTCCGTCTGATGCAGGTATAATGGAAGCAGCAGCATTTAGGACCGCAGCGCTTTGGCTTTAGGGCCTGACCGGCACCATGCAGCAGAAAGGTGCCATCCAGATTATAGAATGGGAGGACCTGGACAAGAGGAAATTCTACTCACTGGGTGTGTTTATGACGTTGACCACCCGGGTCACGGTCTACCCAGCCAGCCTAATCCGGACCCGGCTGCAGGTGCAGAAAGGGAAGGCCGTGTACTTGGGCACCTTTGACGCCTTCTGCAAGATCCTGCGAATGGAGGGCGTGAGGGGCCTCTACCGAGGCTTCATGATCAACACCTTCACTCTGGTGTCCGGACAGGCATACATCACCACCTATGAACTGGTGCGCAAGTACGTGTCCCACTACTCTCCCAGCAACACAGTCAAGTCCGTAGTGGCGGGAGGGGCAGCGTCACTGGTGGCTCAGACCATCACCGTGCCCATTGACGTGGTGTCCCAGCACCTGATGATGCAAGGACAGGGGGAACATCACTCCCGCTTCAAGGTGAAGCCAAAAATGATGCTCACCACATCTAAACGCAAACCTACTTTCGGACAATCGCGGGAAATAACGGTGCAGATATTTGCAGCCGATGGTTTCAGGGGATTTTATAGGGGTTATGTGGCATCGCTGCTCACGTACATCCCCAACAGTGCCCTCTGGTGGCCTTTTTATCACTTTTATACAGGTAAATCAACACCGTATTTCTTTTGTTTTGTCAGCATGTCTTTTTGTACGACTTGGCCTTATGATGTATAATGTCGTTTGCATTTTTAGAAAAATTATCTTTAATGGCACCAAGTGGATGTCCCCATCTGATTCTGCAGGCAGTGGCAGGACCAATGGCAGCGGCAACTGCTTCCACCATCACAAACCCTATGGATGTTGTTCGTGCAAGAGTTCAGGTAAGAAAAGCTGCAGCCTTTTGAAGGACCTTTAGTTTGATGATCTCCTAGCTGTTGGAGTGAGGCTGAACACAAACATGAGCTGTCTGAGGCCTTCAGAAAGAAGATTGTAGCAGTTTATGTGCCTGGTAGGGTCACAGACGTGTTTGTTATGAGATATCCCAGTGTAGGATGTTCAAAACAACTGGTAAGGTGCAAACGACTGCCCGGTCGAAGTTCACCCTTGGAGTAGACCGGAAGATCCTTAAAGAGGTACCCCCCGCCCCCCCCAAAAAAAACCCTCTACCATAGGATATACCATAAATTCTGCCACATGTCAGAAAGTGCTTCAAGACATTTGAGACTGGCTAGCTCAATTACAAATAAATTAACCATCTCTGGGGGGTTTTCTGCTTGCTTCATAATGGAGAGTGAACATCAAAAATCAAAATCATTTAAAATCAAATTAGATTTTATTTGTATAGCACATGTCAGCAGCAAGGTATTTCAAATTGCTTTACATCATGACATTTGCATGTCATTGAATGAAATCAGTGGTAGAACCCACAGGAAATTAGGCAAGCAACAGGGTACACTCTGGACTGGTCACGAGTCTGCTGCAAAGCAACACAGAGACAAACAACTATGCACACACGCATACACGTACACACACACTTAAGGATACTTCGGAGAGACCACAACATGACCTAAAATTAATGTTTTTGAACTGTGGGACGGAGCACCCAAAGCCTCGACCAACTGTGCCACTGTTCGCCTCATAACCAGTAGAGAGAGGAACTATCTCCACAATCCTTCAAGGATAAGTGAGTATAGACAGTGGGTCGATGAAGGTGCATAAACCCAAAACAACAATCAAAACATGACTGAGAACGTCATACAGCAACCTTCATTGGAAAGCACAGTGGTAAGAAGTTTGTAGTATGTGGTCATTGGTCACAAACCTTCAAGGACTTTTGATCTCTACTGCTGTACAGAGAGCCTTGCCATGGGAAACATAACATTCAGGACAGAGACGGGTTCTGTCTCACAAGGATGAACATGTTTAATGTTAAATCTTCATATTAACCTCAGAACCAAAGTAAAAGACATTGTAAAGTTGCAAACTGAAGTCTGTGAAAGTTGTAATCCACAGAGAAACAATTCATTCACTGATATGGGCTAAAAGGCCATTCAGTAAGGAGGAAACCATGAGTCCAAAAGTAACATAAAACAACAGTTTAAAGTATCTAATCACACTCGTGGACAATGAGCCTAAGGTTTGGGAGCATTGTGTCTTACAATACGCAGATGGTCTATTTATAGTTTAAGCTGAATATAACAATATACAAAAGAAATCATTTAATTTTCCACACTCAAAATGTAACAAACTGTTGAGTTTATTTATACAAAGTTGTTTATTTCCCCTGGAAACGTAAAGTTTAAACCATTTATCAGCTCGCCTCAGCTGTCAGCGCTGATTCAGGCTAACAATGCATAATCATCATCATCCTTCTCTAAGGTGGAGGGCCGAACATCCGTCATAGAGACATTTAAGCAGCTGCTGGCGGAGGAGGGCATCTGGGTGATGACCAAAGGGCTGTCGGCCCGCATCATTTCCTCCATGCCCACGTCGGTGCTCATCGTGGTTGGTTACGAGACGCTGAAGAGGCTGAGCCTGCGCGCCGAGCTGATTGAGACCAGACACTGGTGAAAGACGACAAGGCGTAGGCAGGGTGGGGGACCAGGACAGCCTTTCATCATTCTCCAGTTGCACAGAGGCAGTGACCCAGATCTGTCTGATGCACTTTAGATCGGTGCGGCTTTAAACGCAGGACTAAAGAGAATTCATCATTAGACGCAACCGTTAGCAACTGGAAGGTTGATGAAACAACCTTATTGTTCTCGCTGTCCTGTGAATTGCTGTATTGTTTGTGAATGATGCACATTGAAATGCGTAACAGGTACTTGTTCCTCATTTGTGTTGCTGTAGATAAAATTAAGCTTGGTGATGGACAAAAAGAACAGATTGGAAAAATTCAAGTTTTAATCTTGATTATGGATTTTCAGAGTTTGGTAGCTCCCATCTACTTTATTACTATTATTTCTGTAAATGTTTTACTGGTCTTGTGGGGTTTACCCACATTAACTGATACTTTTGGTTGCCTTATCATTTATAGTTCTATAAGTATGAGCTACCTTTTTATTATAGCCGTAGTTCATTCAGCCTTGGTCATCTAACTTTGGCGTTGGGTCTCAACATGACGTCAAAGTCGACACGATCTAATAGCGAGGTTAGCTAGCAACTCTTGGCAGACAACACCATGGCAGTGGAGCATCCTCAAGTCCATCCAGACAATTATAGATTTTAAATAATCATGGTCACACTTCCTTCCTCACTTTATTTTCCTTGGCCCAAACTAAATGTACACACTGTATCTTTATGTTCTAAAGATCTATTTTGTCTCTGGCATAAGCTTGGTGAAGTTAAATATTTTGAGTTATTTCATCTGGTTTTTTTTGTTTTTGTTTTTTGTTTTGGTTTTTACCCTCATTTGGAACTCTAGCACCCCCTAGGGTATCTGCACAGCCAACACTTTGAAAAGCCCTAATCAAGAGAGGTTGCATTATGTCAACTGAAACTGTAATAGAACAGCTTTGTGTTGTGCAAAAACCAATTTTGCCTTTATCTTGTTGTACTCTACTGTACAAACAACATTTTAATGTCTGCAGATCTTTCCCCTGACTGAGTTGTTACGGGGGGTTTGGTTCTCTGGTCCGCATGTGTTTTGTGGACTTTAAGGTATTTTCCAAGGGCTGTCCAGTCCACAGACAGAAAGGTATCCGGTTTGAGAACCTCTGGTCTCATCTTTGCTTTTGGAGATGATGTGTTTCTGTTGGCATCCTCAGCTCCTGCAAGTCAAAAGCCATGGTAACCACCTGAGAGAAAGGTGGAGTCCTCGTCTCAGATCGACGGTCAGTATCTGTCTATCGAGGGGCCTTGTCTGCAGAATACTTGGTACTACTCTTTTTATAAAAAAAAATATAATCTGTTACATGATTAACGTGTAATTCTGTAGCTCGATACCTTTTAGGATGTTGATTATATTGTACATCACTGCCTTTAATGTGTTCACTTAAATGAAGAGTAAACCACATTGATTTGAGCTCGATTGTATCACTTCAGTGGTAAGCAGGGTCCTCAAATTGATTCCAAACATTTATAAACACTTAAAGTGTGGAAGTGAACACTTTATTATTTTTTTATATGTAAAATATCTCCTGATGAGAAATTTGATGATTTTAAGAGGACTGTGACTCAAACCATGCTACCATAAAACAAAGAGGACACACACCCTGATTTACTAACCTGCCTTCATAGTTGACATTATGGTGTATTCAGATTTACTGCCATTCCACGGCAGACATTTTGTGTATTTTTTTTTTAAAGTAATGTTTGTGGACACCTCTGTCCAGGTCAAGTACAGTGTTTCTGTGAATAAGAGTCTCTTAGTCTGTGACACATTAAGTGAATGTGTAAATGTTATGTTACATCAACTTGTACAGAGTTGCAATTGAATAAAAAAAAAAGATTTTTTTTAAACGTAATAAATCAGGGGCTGCAGTACATGTGATAGTCCATCAGAGGGAGCATTTTATGCTTGAGATCAAGCTGCTCTAATCATGCATCTTAAATTAGAATATCAAACTTTTTATTTATTTTAGTGGTTTGATTCAAAAAGGTTAAACTTATTGATGGATTAAACATGAACTGATTTCATTTAATTTTGATTATGATCAAAATTATATTTCTCAGAAAATGAGAACATTTTAAAACTGCCATTTTAAAACCAACTATCTTACTTGACACTTGTCCAGCAGACATCGCTGACAAAGGATATTAATGGAAAGTTGAGTGGAAGAAAAAACTGAAAACAATGTGCACAAAAGGGATGCACACAGCCTTAAGACGATTGTGACACAATCGCCTTTTAAGAGTTTGTCAAGTTGGAAACCCTTAACTAAGTAAAAACAGCATTTTTTTACAACTGTGTTGTTTGATATTTTAGGCCCAAACCTGTTCACACCCAGAAAATAATAAAAGCAAAAAGTTTAACAGTCTTTTTGCTACAGTATAAAACCGATTCATCTGCAGTTCTGAAACTGTTGATTTGTGAAAAGTAATATTTCAAAGTGTAGTTCACTTTTCAGGGTTCACCTTTGCATTAGTTATTTCTGACTTCACATTTCAGGCCATGTAGATAGCTGTCTGTAAATAAATCTCTAATAGGTTCAACTAACAACAATACAACAGAAACAAATTACTAAAAACAAGTCATTTATTTGGCCCAATTTAGCCAGTGCATAAACAATAACACATTTACTACCCCAAACCTCCCCTCTAAGTATCAATGGGAACCTTTTCCTCCTGCTGCTGCTGCTCTTCATCACAACGGGCAGTCGTAGATGTGGATGGCGCGGTCGTCGCCGGCAGAGACGATCTTTGAGCCTTTGCTGTTGTACTTCACGCACCACACCTTGGGACGACAGAGATGTTGCAATAAAAAAGCTCCATGAACGGAAGAACAGATCAAACTCTCCAAATGTCTCTGCAGCCTCAGTTCTAGTGAACGCTGGCAGGAATTTTGTGAGACAAACCAACAAAAAAAATAGATTCGCAAATAGATTGAAGTTTGGGCTTTGACTGAGCCGTTTTAATTGATTCACATGCTTCAATCTAAACCATCGCTGGTCTGGCTGTAGATGGGAAGATGAAGCGCCGCACTGGTCTCTCGACAGAAATGCCAAACACTCCCATGTTTCATGGTGGAAATTTTATGCTTTGGTTCAAGTGCAGCGAAAGGGTCTAGTCCACATTTAGACGATTAATTACAATTTTTTTTTTTTTTTTTTACACAATTTTGGCCTCTAGTGTGGCTCAAAACTAGCTTAGGCTAAATCTGGTGCAAAGTAACTTTTATGAGTGTTTTCCTAATAAACAAATGAAAGACAATTATTGATTAAAATTTCTGACCAGATTGGAGTTTTGAGAAAACTATTTGTGTTTGCTTGCATACATGGGAAAACAGAGATTTTGGAAAGTAGTTCAACCTCTAAAATTAATCTCCTGATGCCATGTGTAATTCCTAACAGGAAGTCATGGTTATTTTTAAGCGATCTGATTGGTTGACATGGATTTCAGCTTTGCGCCTATATAATTTAAAGCAACGCTCAGGGGTATTTTTGTGGAAGTTCATGTGGATAAAACTTGAACCAACTTTCTTAAACTGATCCCGTGTGTTTTCTTAAACGATGTGACGGAGATATTTGCTGTTATAAAGATCCGGCTACGTGGGCACAAGGACTTAGTTTACTGCCATGTTTAGCCTGCAGGCCAAAAAGACAGATTTTGGACTCACCTGAGCAGACGACTTAGTTCCACATCTTCTATGGAATAGTGTAAATTAAAACTTCTTATGGTTTTATTGCAAAAAGCAAAAATTGAGATCTTCCCAGAAAAGGTGATTAGTAGCGCAGGATTTTACTGCTAGGTATTAATATTTATCCTCTACCGTTGGTTGGTCGGTCACAGAAAATTCCAAAGATCGGACAAATTTTCATAAATATCAAAAAACTAGAAGAGTCAGGTTCCTCACCTGGTCTTGATGGTCGAAGAAAGTGTTGATGCAAGCTCTGGTGCTGGCGTCCCAAACCTTCACGCTCTTGTCAGACGAGCTGAGGGGAGCAGAAGGAAGAAGGGTTTACGTTTTGACGGTGGAATGGATTCACACCGACATGAAGCATGGGAAACTAGAGGAGAAAACACGTCACATCGTATCACAACAACAACGTATTGAAGTGTGGAAGAGCTGCTTTTAGTGTTCCACCTGGAGACAAAGTGGGTGTGATCCGGAGAGAACGCCACATTAAGAACCCAGGAGCCATGGCCGCTCAGCGTGCCAGCAAGGTTGGCGTGTTGTCTGAGGAACAGATACAGCGCCGCTTTAATCTGCTACTTTGTCCACAATTTGTCCATGTTAAGTTTCATTATTAGGTTTTTCTGAAGCTAAATCACTAAATTACTTTTGATCAAAGCGACGATGCATAGTAAGTGCTACTTACACATCGTATATTTTGATATATCCGTCGTCGGAGGCAGTGACCAGCAGCTGGGAGTCTGGGGAGAAGGTGAGGGATCTGATGGGCATGGCATGACCTGCAGACACGAAAACACACCGAATATCAAACTCCTCGTCTGGACAGCACCAAGTCTAAATGTAGTCAGGATTCCTGAACACTTATTAGTTCACAATTTTACTCTTTTCCAGACAAATTTCAAGAGTTCAGCAGGGTTTGTTTTATTGTCTTTTGGATATTTGACACAAAAAGTCAGCTTTAACTCTTAAGTGGCACAGCGCCATGTTTCAGCTTATATTAACTTTATTATCTGTAAATTTTGTGATTGTCAAATGAGGATTAGAGTAATATTTAAAAGATGGAAGACAAGAAAAAAAACATCTGGAAAAAATTCAAGCATATTTCCACACTTGTCCAGAAAAGAAAACTGCTTAAATAAAGTTCCAGCCTTTTCCAGACTATCTGCATGGATCTCTGTTGTTTTTACTCAACTTTTAAAGTTTAAAGTAAATACAAGATGCTCACTATTGATGATTTATGCCACATATATCTAGAGTAATCCGACAATGTATATGCAGAATAAATATATGTACGGACAGAGAGACTCAAACCTTCAAACAACAAATGCTACACAGATTGTTTTTTCTTGTCAAATGTCCAGAGTTTTCTAAACTCACATTTCCAGATTTCCCAGTCGTTTTCAGGCCATCTTAAGGTGGACACGTCACAAAGCATTAACAGAAAAGTGAAACATTATGGCAAAACCTGAGAATCTGGGAAACTAGAGCAGAAACACTTAGCAGTTTAATTTATAATCTATATTAAACTGCTAAATGTTTTATTTTCAGAATTATATTTCAATAAAATTGAAATTAAAACCTTAAAGGAAATAACGTGAGCTTTTTCCTGTCTCTACTAGACGACCTGCTTAATCCTAATGCTGGAAAATTAAAACCCAAACACACTGATAAAAGGTCTAAATCATCACTAAAAACCATCTAAAATACTCGATTTGTCAGGCTTTTAATCGAAGGGTTATTCCCGACAACAATTAGTCGTTTTTCTTCATATAAATCTGTAAATTAGCCGACCTTCGAGTGTGTGGAGTAGTTTCCCGGTGGCGATGTCGAAGATGTTGATGATCCCATCGATCGCGCCGCTGGCTAAATACTTTCCATCGGGGCTCTGAGGAGCAAGAAGGACATGTGAAATGGAGCCAAGATGGCCGCCACAGCGCTGTGAGGAAGTTTCAGATTACTCCTGTTTTTGCTTTTTATGTCACATGTAAATATTTCAGAGAATCAAACTCATTTTAAGCAGAGTAAAAATGAAAACCCCACATGTGAATATGCTATCTGAAGCATGTTAACATAAGCTTGAGGAAGATTTTAGTGATTTACTGAAATTTAGGTTTTTGAAGGTAAAATTTTTTTTGAAAAATCTGGATATTTTTTCCAACTATAGAAGTTTTTCTCTCATTAGAATGACTTTTTTCTCATAATTTTAGGACATTATCTTTCTGATAAAAATAGTATTTTCTGCTAACATTATGGAATTCTTAATTATTTATTCTACATTGTATAACTCATAGAAGGAACGGTTGAAATAAAATCCACTATTTGAAAATATTTTCTGTAACTTATTTTTTTCAAAAAGAAAACATGAAAAAAAAAGTTAAATCCGACAACATATGGTCCTTCCGGAAAGTTCTGGGTCCTGAGGTCTCCTCCCTGTGGGACGCCCCACAAAACTCCAGAGAAAGGCGGCTGATCAGATGCCTGAAACATCTCAAATGACGCATTTCTTTGTTGATAGAATTAGTCTGGCGAGTGAAAAAAAAGCAAAAACCAGGAACAAATACTTTCAAAGCGTTAAAACAAAATGCCGACTTACATGGAAAGGAGTCACAGTGGTAGTTAAAAACTCAGACTAGATCTGAAAAGAAAACAAGTGGCTGATTCTCACATAAGCTATACTGAGGATGAATTTTCCTCTGGTGTCCAGGGAATATTCCTTCTTGCCGCTTTCC